GTCGTTGCCATATCGCCACTGGCCGGTTAAGGAATTTTAGGGAAGATGGATGCTGTTTTGGTAACCGAAGTCCGCGGATTTTAGGACGAAGGAACGAACAGCCACAATGTCTTTTATGAGCAGAACCCCGCGTCATTTGTTTGTGTGCTAGGTGGAAAATATTATTGTCACCAGGAAAGCGTGTTTCCTTTCGAGAACAGGGTAACCGATTTATCCTATTTACGCTAAAAACGCAATGTATTCGGGTAAGACGTCCTCACGGGCGTATTTTTATGTCAGTACCTAGAGGCGTATTCTAGGATTGGTACTGAGAACACGTCCCCGCGCTATCCCTTTTACAACTTTCCAAATATTGGTATATGTTTAATGCATGTTGGCGGCTAAAACATTGTGGTAGTGACGAAGAAATTAATGGATTTAAGAAAGGTGGCGTTATCGTACATTTAGACACTTTGTGCGCTTGCGACTCGCTAAAATATCGTAGCCCGCCTAACATGTTGAGTTTTGCCCGGCAGCCTAAAACTGGCCCCTCCATTTTGACTCTTTCCCAGCTTTATGTATACAGGGCACAAAATGTTTTGGAAGCTTTGAGGGATGTCGACTTCTTGTACCAATAAACGTGCTTGCCCAGAATTGGGTCCAGATAGTAACCCTTTTCACACAAGCAATGAAAGACAGGGACTAAATCTGAAATGCGCAAGATCTGGCAAAAAGGCAAAAGTTGAACCCATTATTTGGTGTTTCATCCATTGAGATAGCCGGTCGATTTTGCCAGGGAAGTTTTTAGTTCTTCATCAACTTTGTCATTGTTATTTTACACTTGCGAATTTTGTTTCATGTGACCAAATTATAACCTATTTTGCTGCCGTGAGGCGGGAAACACGTGCATGCTAACGAAAGAAGAACGCTACCAGAGTAAAAGTTACCGGCTGTCTTAAAAGAACTGGCAGGGATTCATGGGCTTATCTCTCGTTTATCCTAGTTTTGATGCATGTCAGATTTGGAGCAAAATTTGGCCAACCTAAACAATAGTGTAATCATGCTGGCGTAAACACAACTTGAAGGAATTGTAGGCATAAATCAGCATAGCCCATGATGAGCCGTCGTCTAATAAATCAGCATAGCTAGATGGAGTGCGCGTATGCATTTAAAGACGATGTTTCGAATTGTTCATTCATGTTCACCTACAAGCCTATAGCTGCTGCAAAACAGCTACCATGATAGACGCAGCCAATCATTGGTGCAAGCGTGACAGTGCATTGCCTAAGGTTCTTAGGAACACCAGTAGTCGGGGACCGAGTCTTCACTCCGCACTTAGTGACTATCACATAGTGGCGCCCAGCTTTCCAGAATAACCTCTAACCCTTGGTTCTTATGTGAGACGAAAATGACAACTATCGGGCCCCTTCTGATCTGTACTGGGTGCCGTTCTTGGAAGCCTAAATCAAGTCATGGCTTATGAAGGCTCTGTTTACGTCTACTCAATCATTTCACTGTCCTAACAAGGGACGCATTAGCAGCCTTGAACGCTGATAACACATAAGGTTGTTGATCACAAAAGCGCCCTCATAATAAAAGGCCCCTCATAAACCATGGCTGATGAAGGCTCTGCTCACGCCTACTTAATCATTTCACTATCCTGACAAGGACGCGTTCACAGCCTTGAAGGCTTATAGCCCACGAAGCTGTTGATCACAAAATGAACCAATTTTCTGACAGCTTGCTCATGACTGACAACATGCCATTTTTGGACCAACATTGGACGTGCCAACCATTACCATTACCATTACCAACATTGGACGTGCCCTGTTCTTGTGATGTCCACGACCACATTTGAAGAAGCCAAAATTGCCGACCGTTCACCTCCACCAGAAGCGCTGAGGTTGATTAGTGTCGTAAGAAACTGTGTTGAGCTACATGGTTTTTGAAGCATACCTCAAGAATACATACTATGCGTTCGGGCGGGGATTGGGTTCAGCTTCAACTCCCCCCCCCCCATGGTTTTCCAAAATAATTTCTGAGTAGAGCGGCATGGACGTGCCAAACTTTGTGAAGCTTCAGGCAACTGAATAACGGATCTTTTAGTATCAAAATAGTCATACCTTGTAAGGCTGCTGATCTGTGGCAGGGTTAAGCCAGGTCATGGTAGCCAGCGAAAGCATTCCTCGGGAATCCTTCAATCTCATGCCACGACAGAGCGTTAGACAAACTCGCATACCTTTGAGATGATATGGTGCCGAAAGACAAAGCAATTAAAACAATTAAATTTGAAGCGATAGTACTTTTAAATGTCTATCTGATCTCCAATGTTTTGGTTATTTTCCCTTCTTGAGATCAAATAAGGGTATTGACATCATAAGTATGTACAATATATTTCCTTACAAAAGGCACGTACGTTAAAACTGGTTGCTTTGGCAAGTTCTAAAGGCACATCGAACGGACAGCAGTCTCGATCTTGACCTTGTTTGATCATGTTTGAACTGAAGGTCACGACCGAGGGAGTTGAAAATTTGACGCAAAAGAGGTGACGTTGTTCCCTGCGAATTAATTTCCCTTCGCTTTCCTAGTTTTGAGATATCAAAGGTGCATGCATGCACGCGCACGCATGCGTTGGCATGCATCAGACTAGTCTCTCCCAACGAACTGGTATGCGCCAGACTAGCCTCTCCCGGTGAGCTGGTATGTGCAAGAATAGTCTCCCAACAAGCTGGTATGAGCCAGAATAGCTTTACCCGGCAAGCTGGTACGTGCCAGACAAGTCTCCCGACAAACTGGTATGTACCAGACTAGTATCTCCTGGCAAACTGATAGCAATGAGAGTGACAGCACATGACGAGTGATTTGAAAACATCGACCAACGGTCTTCTAGCAAGGCGGTAGCAAGATTGCGCTGTCAGTGCGCCAGGATTGGTCGCGGACTGCACGCGAAAATGCAGTGGCCTCGTGCCAGCCATTCAGCGTCGCTGCCGGTGCGGGCGTGATGACGCGTAGTAGGCCGCGCCTCCACGCTGCGTGCTGAACACACTTTTTACGGATCAGATCGGAGAAGCTGGTGGGGATGACGCGAGCGCCACCGAAATAGGCTATCGATCACAGCTGGGGCTATTTTTGGCTCTTTATTTCACTAGGGGTCTGACGTCATAAACAAGGCGGCCGAAGACTTAAAAAATCGTTACAAACGACGTCGTAGGCCGAGTGAGTTCTGCTTGAGTTTTTCTGAAGTTTTAGTTTCTTCTGAGTTTCTTCCGCTTGAGTTTGGCTTTAACAAAGACACAATTTTGTACCCGGGTGGTCCGTTTTGGTCCTGCCTCGCCCGCCGTCACGCTCTCTGGAGACGAGAATCTTATCAACCGCGCTGATCGCAGGCTCGTGCTGCGGTCAGCGACGAGAAGCCCAATGTTCTATATGCTTTGGACTAAATAGAGCTAATATGTCCAGTCCAACAGCTGTCCAGCTGCAGCTGTGCTAGAATTCGCAAGCACACTGTTTTGATCAGGATTTTTATGCGGCATTGGAATTACGTTGGTGTTATATCTCACGTTTTGAACGTGGGAAAGGTAACTAATTCTAAATCGCAAAAAAAGAATCAGACAGCGGTACCCAGCAGGAAGTGTCGGCAATTGAACGCGATAGGGCGCACCGGTACCTGAACCCCGCAGGACGAACCGAGTTCAGACTTCTACGACTGAGTGTCGTAAAGAGACGAGGCTAACAGATCCTGACGAACGAGAAAGCACCAATAGTATCGGCAGAAGCGTAACTCAATATGCGAACACTTACACGATTTACCTCGCCGACCGTTTAACATCCCAGGGAGTGGTTTGCCTGTTTGCGAGTGTTTGGATGTTTTCACAACACTCTGCATTGTAATGGCTCTGGCTTTAAAAAAGCACCTGCACAACATTGCATTATTGTTTGGGATATAATGACATTTGACGCATGCTGCGATCAAGCAGAAACAAAAACGTGGACATATTTGTTGACAGCTGTCAAAGTCGTGAGTTTGAGAAACATCACGCATAGTTCCAGACCGCCAACATATTATAAAGGCAACATATAGGAAGGCAAATAAGTGACATCTGATGGCTCACGCAGTGCTATTGTGACTGGCTCTGACCCGCCCATTCTTTACATGCTCCTGGTCACATACCAGTATCTTAGGAGTCTATATTGCTCAGATTCACATATCCACGTCAGTAAACCAATAAAAGAAAGGAGACGTCCATTGAGACGTCCATCTCTTCATCATTCGTCACCCCATCCCCTCTTCAGTTTTACATCTGCAGCCCCCGAGCTCCCCCGGGCTTCTCAACCTTCATATCTCCATTGTTCGCAATGCTTTTCATAGTTCACCATCCTCGCTAGTTCCCCAACTCATCTCCCTGGTTTCCTATTCTCCCCTCGGTTGTCATCCTCTCCACAGTTTCAGATATTCTACGTTGCTCATCGCCATCTCAGTGATTCACCATGCCATTCATACCGTTCCCCTTCATCTCCACATTTGGCACTCTCTTCCTGGTTTCCTTTCTCTCCCTGACTTCCTACAACCCACCTTAGCCCCCTTGTTTCCCTCCTCTCGCTGTTTCCTCAAAAGTACCCTTCTCTCCACAGCTCCCATCCTCCCCGTGGCCGGCCGCCGGAGCAGAGCCTCCGCCAGCGGAGGGCCGCGGGCCTCCGCCGTGTCCTCGCCGGCCGCGCCGACCGCGCCCCGCCCCACTCAGCATTCCTGCACACATTAAACGGTTGCCGAGTCGGCGCCGGCGCTTTTTGCCGGCGCCGCCTCCGAGCCGGCGGCGGCGGCGCGGGCCCGGCGGCCGACTTGAGAGCGCCACGGCAGAGGCAACGGTCAATACCAAACAAATCGGCTGATCGGCGGCGGCGGCGGCGCGCCGACGCCGCGCGCGCCGCGCCCGCCGCCGCGTCGGCGTCGGCGGCGTCGACGCGGAGTCGGCGTCGCGGCGTCGCGGCGGCGGCGACGATCGATGCGCGCCGGCGGCGAGGGCGAGCCGGCCATCGGGCGGGCCGACGGCGAAGCGCTGTGATGGGGTCCGAGCAGGACCGCTGGGCTGTGCGCCTGGGGCCAGCCGAGCTCGATCTGGGCGCTGATGCGCTGGTGCCCGCCCTGCTGGTGCTGCTCGTCTGCCTGGTCATCATTGTCGCCAACGTGGTCGTCATCGCCACCATCGTGTCCATGTCAGGTGGGTGGTGCTGTTGGGGTAGGGTGGAAAAGCTAGGTCACCGAGGTGGGCGGCACGCGCTCGCGATGCGGCGGCAGCGATTCGTCCACGTCGGAATGCTGACGATCTGTTCACGCCACGATCCGTTCACGTCTGTTCACGTCGGCTGTAAGGCGTGTCGTCTACAGACAGACGCCAGCTTCGGCGGATTTAATGCATGGGCGTTACCTCCGTGTCATAGTCACATAGTTACATAGTCACCCTCTGTGTGGTTTGCCGACCATCGACGGCATTGCCTGCTACAACCTTGCGTGACCGCAGGTCGTTTGTCCACACTCCCATCCCTGCACCATTGTGTGCAATGGCATGCAATGCTCAGCTCACGTGCTCAGTGCAAGGCTTCGGCGCGACAGGCGCAGCTCCGCAGCTTTGCCCGCAGGCGGGCGAGGCGCTGCTTGTATATGTTAACTTTTAACTCGTGCTGCGAGTACGTGGCATGGGGTCCGCCGGCGTGGAAAGGTGACTCACAGCCAACGCGGCTTTTCAGGTACAAGCCGTGCTTGGCCCGACACCACGTATGCCGTGTACTACGTGTAAAGTCGATGCAAGGCCCGTTTGAACTCGCATGTAACAGAATCAGCCCTTACGGGTGCTTTGATCATGGAGCCCCCCCCCCCCGCCAAAGAACGACTGACACTTTCGCGTCGTCCACCCCAATTTACGAACAGCAGTACATTATCGTTCATCTAAGTTGATGCAGTTGAAGGCAAAAAGTTGACAAATAATTGAGGCGGCTTTTTGCTCACGGTAACTAATTAAATTGAGCTACACAAATGTGGATAACGGTAATTCCTACCAGTAGAGACTGTTCGCACATTTTGCGATGACGCGCACGGCATTTACCTCAAACTCTCAAGTTTTCTATTTAAACACACGTGAGTAGCCCGCCTAATGATTCCGCCGGAATCCAGTCACTTTGGATGTAATTAGTCCTATGTTATTTGCCATCCTCTTATGAGGCCTTTGAGGACTTCTCCAATAAGTTTGAGAAACTAGCCCCGCTTCTGCTCCTGTCATCCAGGAGGGTAAACACCCAGTGGTGTAGTTCCCTATTTAGTTGGGGGGGGGGGTCAGTCCCCCCCCCCCCACTTGGTCTCAAGCCCCCTCCCCCGCTCCAGCTCCGAGAGAGGTGGCCGAAATCTGGTGGAATCTCATTTGCTAGATAATTTTTGGGTAGCTTCCATGTTTTCACGGTTCAGCCCCCCCCCCCCCCCACCTTCAGTTTCCCACCTCACTTTGCGATGCTACACTTCTGCCCGCCCCCTTACATTAGTAAGTGGGTGCACCTGACGATAAGGAAAAAATCAGGTTAGAGGAACCAAGGAGTTTACATTATGCACTGCTTGCGCTCTTATAGCACACAAAACCGCAACATCCGTGGAGAGCAGGCTGCGAGTAAATCCAAATAAGCAATCATGATGAATTATACGTGCTGCTCTTGGAAGAAACCAGCTCGGCATTTCTCTCAGGGGAGCGGGCCTCGAAGATGGATACCTTCCTAACAACGCGCCACCTCTCGGTCATGCTTTTCAATTCAGCCAGGCTCCGCCGCTTCCAATCGATACGCCGACTGCGGGAGAACCACTTGGAGAGGCGCCTGCTCACAAAGGTGACAAACGATGACTCATTTGCGGCAATGGCGGCGCGGCATCTGGCAAGTTTCAAAGGTCGGCAGAAAGACGGAGCGACGGACGCAGCTGCGTTGCTATGGGAACTGGAGGAACGGGCCAGCGTGCTCGGATATCAAGGGGTGTTTCGCGTTCTTCAGAATGCACCATCTGCAGCCTGCATTGGACCACGCTCAAAAACGCTACAAGCTGATAATAAAAAGCGCGATAAATTGATATAGACATATACAAATATTTCAACTTACAAAAAGACATTGTAGCAGTGTCCCTTCACTCCTCTCAACCCTTTGCCTGAATGCGGCATCTGGTACAGCAATAAGCATCGCTTTCACTGGCTGCTATCACCACAGGGTGTGGGGGGAGAGAGGGGGTGGGGGGAGGTCGTGGTGCGGGCAGGCGATACACGCCTCCCCGGCGGCGAATGTAGCGCACCAGAGCGTAGCTGCGGCGCGCTGGCGAGACAGAGCGGACATCGGGACAGAAGCGGCGTCGGACACGAGCAAAGCACACTCTGAGGGGCTCCGGCATGTTCTTCCGCATGTTCTCTGCGCCGGCCGAACAGTCACGAGCAGCGGCCAGCACTCGGCGTCGACCAGTGCAAAAGAGTGCTGTTAGCGTAATCCGCCTGCGGCACCGATTGGGATCAGCCCGCTGTAACAGCGGGCCATTTTCCTAATTGGCGGGCAAGAGCTACTTGTTGCCGTATTCAACGAAGCAAACCAGTACAAGATGGTTTTGGAGCGGGTTATTACGTGGACAAGTGACACACTTCAATCTCTTGTTTCGGCAGTAAAATGTGGTACAGTTTTCGTTTTCATTATTCCTTTTTATGAACTCTAAATCTTGAAGACATTCGTTTTGTCCAGTTCTAACCTCCAGCGGTCACCCTCACACTGCGAGCAGGAGCGCTTTCCGAAACCGCGCGGCCCAGTCAACGGTGGGTGCACCATCGCGTCTTGGAGGGTCGCCAAGCTATACAAACAGCGGCAGTTTAACGGGCACAAAGCCTAAATTCGAAAGCCGAGTGTCCTGCCACCACCTTGCGGGCATGCCCATCGCCCCAGCTGGCTCCAGGAGTCACCCCGCGACGGACTCCTCGTTTCTCTGAGAACGCGGAGGGGATGGGAAATGTCTGGGTATCGGCCGCCAACAGGCTATCATGATCTCTCACGAACGAGAAGGTAATGCCATTCATTTCGCGAGCCTGCGCTTGGCATGTATCGCGTTATGATTGGTGCGCTGATCAGTTTTATCTCGCCCTCAGCTGGAAACAATCGTGTAATGTTTTGTCCAAACTGAAATCCGTAATCGTGTACACATGAACTGCCTTTTGTGGATCCCCCCTCAATTACAACGCTACATCTCAAGCCCCGCCTGACTAGGCGACATCTGGTGTGCAGTGTCATTCCGTGCAGACCTTGAGGTCTTCGACAAAGCATTTCTCGTGGAAGAACGTTACCTCCCTTATATATATACATATATATATATATATACATATATACACATATATATATATATATGTATATACATATATACATATATAAATATATATATATATATATATATATATATATATGTGTGTGTGTGTATAGAGCTTCGTCAACACTCCCGTATGAGTATGAGGACGGTCAAGATTAGCGTTCCTAGTAGTGTGCTAGCCTTCCAATATAACATATCTGGCACGACGCGGTTATAGATTCTTTGAAAGCGCGCTCGATTGTTCAGTCACCACAAGCATTGGCCTATTTGATGAGAGACCCAGACTGCTGGTGGCATGGCGTGCTTAAACGATGGTCCCTAAAAGTTGTGTTCCTTCTTTATTTTCTTTGGTTGTTTAGGTTTTTTTGTGCTTGCGATTCGAATGTCATACAATATTTTCATGCTTTAGAAATATTTAGCAGAAACATTATATATATATATATATATATATATATATATATATATATATATATATATATATATGTACATATATGTGTGTGCATATACGCGTGTATACATATTACGCATAATTTTCACTGGGCACAACTAGATCAATAACGTGCCTTGATTTCAATTGTGAACAAAATTCTGTAGCATTTAATAGAGAAAAAGGGCTGCCATTGATATGTTGATAAATGGTAACACACACACACACACATATATATATATATATATATATATATATATATATATATGCGTGTATATGTATATGTACATATGTACACATATGCATATGTATACATAATTTGTATATTTAGATTTCCATTCATGTATGTATGAATAGCCTAGAAGATGTATGTGCTCCGAATGCCACAGCCGCTGATGCCAGGTTGGAGGATCACGCCTCTCTGAGGCCGTCGTTGTCGGTTCTCTGTGCGGTGGACATCTTGAATGCCGCGAGTTGAACATGAGTGCATCATACATGTCACCCTGGAATTCACCGAAGCAAAACACTGGCGCACATGTGCTATGCAGAGATGAACTATGCAACTGCTCCTGGTGGCTCGTGAACATAAATATCTTACGACTGCATGGAACGAGAAGCTCCTTTTGCGGCTGGGATCTTTTGACAAATGATTTGGCGTTGAAAGTCGTAGCGTCTTCAACTTAAGCTTTCTCCAGAGTATAAAAGCCTGTATAGGCACTACATCGCGATGTCTGCTACTATGATACAATAGTTTTGCGTTTCTTCTCTATCCTTTTGCTGCTGTCAACCCTGAAGGCCTTTGAGGCGAGCTGCTTTCTTCTTCAACACTGGAAGAAAGCAGGGCTTCAGCCGAAATGGATGTCGCCTGAATGCGTTTCCTCAAAGACTTCCATTGTCTCCCTCATCCATTGACCCAATTAAGGCGAAAATACGGCGCGCTTAGTGGATTTAATTTTGGAATAATTGAGGCAGCGGGCTTCTAATGAGTGGAAGAAATCATTCGACTTATCAAACGCATGGGCTGCGGCATTTGACACGTGAATAGTTGTGCCAGCGCGGACTTCCAAATCGAAGGCTGAATAAGATCGCTCGTTTTTAGGGTGCTGACAGTTTCCCACGAAATGAACCAGTTTGTCATTTGCCAATCAAACGCTGCTGTCGGTACACTTGCGTTTAACTCTAAAGAGAAATTGTTAACCTAATTGGATGCAGTGGCTCTGATCTCGTGTACACAAAATGACATGTTTTCAGTCGTAGGGTAGCAATTTGGGTAGAGATCCCATGCTCTGCGAAATACGTGGTCTGCCATGTTGCGACAAAGCTTCGTCAACACTCCCGTATGAGTATGAGGACGGTCAAGATTTGTGTTCCTAGTAGTGTGCTAGCGTTCTAATATTACATATCTGGCACGACGCGGTTATAGATTCTTTGAAAACGCGCTCGATTGTTTAATCACCACAAGCATTGGCCTATTTGATGAGAGACCCAGACTGCTGGTGGCATGGCGTGCTTAAACGATGGTCCCTAAAAATTGTGTTCCTTCTTTATTTTCTTTGGTTGTTTAGGTTTTTTAGTGCTTGCGATTCGAATGTCATACAATATTTTCATGCCTTAGAAATATTTAGCAGAAACGATGTATATATATATATATATATATATATATATATATATATATATATATATATATATATGTGTGTGTGTGTGTGTTGTGCATATACGCATGTATACATATTACGCATAATTTTCACTGGGCACAACTAGATCAATAACGTGCCTTGATATCAATTGTGAACAAAATTCTATAGCATTTGAAAGAGAAAAAGGGCTACCATTGATATGTTGATAAATGGTAACACGTGAGAATACAAAACAAAAACTGTCAAGAATTGGCATGAGTCGCGTGACCTTATAAGTAGCGTACAATGGTGCACGGGAAGGCCTTGCTTCCGGAGCCGGGAGCGCGTGAAGAGATTGATCACCACAGAAAGGAAATGTGATGAAAGAGGAACGCCCAAGCGTGGCATAGCTGTTAGATCGGCTAATCCATTGTTACATTAAGAGTATTCTACTGCTGTCTTTCTCTACGGACTTCTAATCCTAACTCCAGGCACTTTGTGCATCCATGATAGGCGTTATTGGCGCTATTCTTATTAAAATTGTTGACGTTACGATAAGTTTAGCATGCCAATGTTTAAATTGCAAATTTATGATTCATTTTTGACCCGGATATCGCGCAAGATATATCACGTTTAGTTTGCAGAGGTATATATCAGGAAGCGATAAATAACGTCTGCGGCTGATTTCGCCGTGCTTTGACGTATATAGCAGTTACGCAATGACGCAGAGATTGTGCACGTTATGGAAAGCTGTAATGTTCGTGTTGAGATTATTGTAAACTCAAAAAACACCAGGCAATGCCTGCAGCTGCAGAGTAAGTCCACATATCAATGGCGACCACATTGCGGATGAGAAATATCTCCCGAAGGAGGGGCACATTTCTACGACGGATTGATTAACTCCACGAGCTGAGAACAATCATTAGGAGAGTAAATGACCAGTTCCATGGATAATAACAAACAGATCGGCAACACCCCTGTTAAGTTACTAGCAGACGTATATATTCGAAGGAGAGGCATCAGCTGGCAAGTGGCACAGACTCGCAGGCAAACTGGACAAGCTAAGGTGAACCGGACGAGTTACGGGTAACCCAACGGTCGGAAGGGAAATCCTTAAAATACGGTTACTGCATGGTGATGAATTTGCGGTTTGAAAGGCATTACACAATGCCTGCCACACGTTATTTGCGAATCCAGTGAAATTGTGCTCTGGTATGAGTTATCGCATGACATCAGCATTTAGCTGTGGCCTGAGTTGCAATGTTTAAGCCATTAGGTACGCCTTTTAATTAGAATCATTCTTTACAAATTGAATTATATTGAATCATCTCACAGTCCGAAAACAAACACAAACGCAGCATGGCTCGAACCCGTGCATCGCTAGAAATGACCTCGTTGAGATGTTACATACGGAACGCATTGCATAGTCAATGAGCTCGGAATGTTCGGAGTCAACTTTGCAACGTTGTTTTATCCAGTAACCAATCATGTCGATCTTACCAATTTTGCAGAGTTCTGGGACTTCAGACATCTCTGCGACGATTCTCTTTTGGAAAACGTACGATTTCATCGGCCAAAGCCAACACTTTATTTGCTGACGTATATTTCGTTGAATCAGAACCCGAGTGGTTATGCATGTGGGCTTGGTTTAATTGCGTCGCTCAATGACCCCTCTTTGCGTGCTATGCCCCTCTGAGCATAGCAGTTGCCGCTCTAGTGGTGGTACATATTTATGACGAGCTCATTCAAGTTCAGCGGAATGAGCACGAGCTTGAGTTCTTCGTAATTATGTCCACAAATCACGACGATGAAGTGTCAAGGCATGCAGACTTATGGCCTTCATTCACATCACTGCTAGCTATGTAGTGAGCACAGACTGACCGATTAACGGGACAGAATGCACATAGGTGCACATAATGCACAATGCACAAGTCGTGAATACTGTTATTATGCGGTTGGGTTTCCTGGAAAAACAAAAGTCAATGTTCTCATGACTTTTACAATGTTTGACACGTGAAGTCGTTGAGTTTCTCCTAAACCCGTTAAGACGTTCTCGCGCACCTTGTACCCATTTAAATGCTTTTATATCACTCTTCCATTGCCCGGCCAATCAAAAAAATAAAAAAAGACTCCAGTACTACTGCAAAATATTTTCGATCATTCTTTCTCACGTGGCCATGGCCGAAATTTACCACAACTCGTGCAGCCTTGGTCCGATCATGCTCACAACAACGACGTTCAGGATATGAAACGGCTATCAAATGACGTCATTCGTCACAAAATCCGGAAACTCCAAAAAGCTCGCGCGCCGCAAAATCGAAACCGCCGGCATTTCTCTCAACGGGCGACTTTCGCTGGCCCGGGCCGCTCCGTTGGCCATCACGCTCTCTCCCCACGGGCTCCGAGTGGCCCCGACAGCCCCCTGAGCGACCGAACCTCCGTATCATTCACACCTGCGCGTCCTGCTCTCGTCCGTCCGCCGAAATGAGGCGGGCTGACACGCTTGCCGCCGGGCGATTGGCTGGTGGGTGCTGACGTTACGCTCATGCGGATGGCGCTCTGTCACATCAGGCACGTCACCAGCTGCGGCTGCACGTCACCAGCTGGAATTCAGTGTTTTTTGGCTGGCGTGCACCCCGTGATCTTTCCCGTCCTTGCTCTGTTTCGTCCTGCCTGAGTTTGCTCCGATTCAGATACACGCTTGCTCTAGGTGGTCCTAGGTCCCCTAATTGGCATATTTATGTGAGTTCTTTTCTTAATTTTGCAGCATCCAAAGTTAGGCTTTATGTGTGTTATGTCAAGCAGCGATCGATAAAGTCACAACCCGTTGACGCACATTTCGATTATGCAGAAATCTCGCCTATTGACTGCACTCTCCGTTCCGGCAACAGATCACGTGCTGCTGTCTTAGGTATGGTAAAAGGATGGAAGCTGGTATTACGTCTGTTTCTAATTTAACTATATTATATGCGTTTGCGAAAAACCGAGACGTGTTTCCATGCCATATAGACGGGAGGACTTTTGTGTCGGCAGCAAGACAGTCCAACCAACTCACCTTTAAAAAGCAGTCAGCAGCCAACAGTAGCAGACGGCCAGCTTGTTTGCGCAGCGTTTACCCCACGTTTACAGAACTGCTTTAACAGGGCTGGCACGATATTGAAAAATATGCTGATCTAATGAGAGCTGTGACGCTACCTGTCACCATAACATTCCATTACACACATATGGCGTGAGGAGACACGTTTGAGGAGCCGAAATGCCGCAGTTCTGCCAGAAGCGTGCGGCGGAGTTCATAAAACCCTTCCCGCGTCCGGATCAGCCGACTTTTGTAGGGCTGTGTCGCAGCCCATTTGGTGTGAGGAACTGCGACCTAGAACTGTCGTTATGCTCAGCCAACGGCGGTTCGATGGATGATTTACGCGTGTGGAGTGAAGCCACGGCTTTGCAGACGTTCCCAGACAAAGGAGCACGCCGCTGGCTCATGCAGGTCAACGCTGTTTATTATGGTGTCTTTAATGCTGGACACGTCAGAGCCCGTCTCTTGTGAGCAGCAGGAGACCGAACCCCAATGCACCGATATTTGCCTTACGTTTCTGTAATCGTCACGAATCCAGTGCTCGAATGTAGATGCGCGAAGAAAGTGTTAGCTTATTTCGATACATGAACCTGCGGACCCGTTCAGTAACGCTCCTGACATCATGTTCGCTTTTTGTAATCGAATTATCTCATTGTAATCTAATTGACTAATCTAATTGTCCAGGATAGCTGAGGTGTCTTGCTTGTCATGACACAAACAAAAATATTCCCAAATGTCAGCAGCTCATCCAGAGACCCTGCCGTTCTCAGCCAGGTCCTGGAACGCTGTACCTGTATCAAACGGTCTTCTGAGCAAAAGTGTCACTTTATTATGTTCAACTCGCACAAAACAACACCTTGCATTACTTGATAAAACAGCACATCTGCTCATATATCTTAGCAGGGCTGCGCTTTAGAGTTCTTATAACGGCTAGGGGTTTTCATGCAGACAAACTAGAGCTATTAGTTATATTTCGCCGTATGTGTAACCATCATGGTCACCGAAAGGTCAGGCCCTCAGCAACGCTGCTACAGAGATTGAGCTGATTTTCATGTCGTCATATAAAATAACATTAAAACAGCTCGAATACTAAAATAGTTTCGATCCTGCTACCATTTTGGTAACTGACAACTAGATGTGTGTGTTATATATTCAAATAAACGACAAACATTTGGAATGGGGGCTCCAGCTACTGTCACACTTATGTTCTTAGCACACGGTTCATGCGTGGTTATCTCCGTGGTCTTCCCATCTCAAACAACATCTTTAGCCATGTGCAGGCTCGAAAGGGGATGCACAAGACCACGCTGCCTCACGACACCCCAAAGCGCATCCAAGTCGGAGGCAGGTGCAGAATAACCACGTAGCCTTCCATTATCTTTCCCTCGCGAGCAAGTGCCGAAGATGCCCCAATCTTCCTGTGTCTTCATGTATCTTCCTGTGTCTTCGTGCATCTTCCTGTGTCTTCATGCATCTTCCTGTGTCTTCATATGTCTTTCTGTGTCTTCATGTATCTTCCTGTGTCTTCATGTATCTTCCCGTGCCCGTGCCTGCAAAGCCTAAGGTGATGCTCACTGCCACCGCGCCGAATTCCGCTTCCACGTCTAGGCTCGGGTCATGCCAGGTCAAGTCAGGGGGTGGACACGCACCTCATGCGCGCTCTTCGCGTGCTCAAGCAAAAAGTGTACTGGATCCCGCATGTCTAACACCGTGCCTCCCTGTTGGTGCGGCAGGTCCAAAGGAAGTGCTCAAGTACTACCTGCTGTCGCTGGCGGCGTCGGACCTGCTGGCCGGCTGCGTGGTGGCGCCACTCAGCGTGTACCCGGCCCTGGTGCACCGCTGGGTGTACGGCGCGCAAGTCTGTCGCCTGGTCGGCTACCTGAAGGTCACACTATGGGCCACGCAGGCCTACACGCTTATGTGGATCGGGGTCGACCGATACCTGGCGATCGTGAAGCCGCTACGCTACGAGACCATCCAGACCAAGGTGAGGGCACCGGTGGGAAGGTGGGACCATCCAGACCAAGTTAAGGGCACCGGTGGAAAGATGGGACCATGCAGACCACGGTGAGAGCACCGGTGGAAAGGTGAGATCATCCAGACCAATGTGAGGGAGCTGGTGGGGAGTTGGGATCATTCAGATAAAGGTGAGGGTATCGGTGGTAAGGTGGGATGATCCATACCAAGGTGAGGGCACCGGTGGTAAGGTGGGATGATCCATACCAAGGTGAGGACGCCGCTTGGGAGGTGCACCTCGTGGGTGGCTACTGTAAATCGTCGATATGCTGTGAATCCATTCCACCGGTGGTCGGTGCGGGGGGAGGGGGGGGGGGGGGGCGGCGTGAGCTCATGTGCGAGAACGTAAGGAAAAATGAAGGCACGATAGGACACGTATTTCAAGCATGATGACACCATGTTGTGTCTACGAAGATATCAAAACATTACGAACGTGTGTGTTGAGCCGGTTTGCTTTTCATGATCTGTGACTTAAATTTGAGTTTTGAGCTTCGGGCAAGTAATCAACTGGCAGTACTTCTGCTCTGCTACCGGTGCTCACACTCGTATTTAGTAAGATTTCTACCCATGCACATACCCGTGCCCTTCATTTTGCCAAAGGCTTATCCACTCCGCTGATTAAATTGTTCAGGATGGGATCTGCAAGTTTACTCGAACTCTGAAGGCCTCTTTCTACCGGCCGTGCTCGTAAAAGTCGAGATGCCCGCCAGCTTAGAAAGGGAGGCTTGGCCACGAGGTGCTGATCGCACAGACGGAGCTCATTTTTACTTCAGACGATGTTCCGAAACTGCCTGGGGGTTCGGACATTGAACCGGCTGCGCGGGAACCCAGTGCTATCAATTGAAGAGCTCCAAGTGCCCAGTAATGCCAGTCTGAAAATACCCGGTCGTTTACACATCTGTCATTAGCTATGGCGTGGGTGCGCTCCCAGACTCCCAGCAGATATGGTGATGCAAGTGATAACGCCGAAGTCAGGTGGGGTAACAGGAGGCAGCCAAACCAAGTGGGAAATGTTGGAAGGTGGAATAGTTGTGCCGCAATAAAAACGGAAAAAACGAGATCGGCAAGCAATTAACGTCCTCAGACCAAACTGAATCATACTATTCCAAGCAGTAAATTATGTGCGCATGCATTGCCATGCATAATTAGAGGGAGTATTTACACATTTTTGTATTTTGCACTTATTGTTACATCAGACGTATGCGATTTGATCAGTAACACCAGTTTTCTCTAAGTTCTTAATAGCCCGGGATTTTTAGTTTATGTAGCCTACCCTTCAGAGACAAATCTCATTTGTGTCCCTGCTCACCACTATGAAAGTAACGCATTTCATTTGTCCTGCTTTTTTTCAAAGTGTTTGTGTTCGTGTTTGTGTTTTGTCTGTCTTTGTGATTGTGTTTAACTTTTGTGTGTTCTGCAATGGCTGCAACACATTAATGTATAAAAAGTTTGTGCAATAAATACTACGAAAGCTTGAAACGTTTTGTTCAGACAAAAATATAAGTGATCATAAAGCTATTATTCTCCGAATTCTACGAAACGTTACACTACGACTTTAATTTCTCTCCTACGGCGTTTACTACAGTGACTCTTTTCGAGACGCAATATGACTTCGAGAAAGTAGGTATCACATGATCCGCGTGACTCAATGGTTCCGACTTCAACCGGGGCTCGGGTCGGCAACAAGCCTCTGCCCGCGGGGCCGATCGCAAAAATGATTTCATTCGCACCAGTAGAGGTGCGCACGGTGGCTGTTATGACGGCGGGCGCAACTGCGGGGAAGAAGCATAGTGCTGGTACAAAGCGTTGATAGCGTTATTTGGTCACGAAAATTATCGAAACCGAGGCTTTATCATGTCTTGTCGGCTTTGCAGTGGCACTACCCAGTGCTTTTACCAGACGTAACTAGTCATAAGGTTTCACCACGGTATGCTTTTGGACTAAGGCTTAATAGATGGGACTCTCCCTTTACGACCTTCAGGATGCAATCGCACTAACTTCACCGATTGATATGTTTGCAACTGAGATTGATTGCTTTACTCCGAAATAGCCGACAGTGTGTCTGGAACTCAAAACCACGGAAATGGCGGCAAGGGAATTGATGGGAACGGAAGGGGGACGAGTCGACAGCCGCTCTCGCAGATGCTGAGCAGCGCGTCCGCATGTTTGGTCAGCATTGCTGGGCTGCACTGGGGCCATCCAACAAGGGTATACCGCTGTGTCACTGGACTGAGCCGTGCTGAAGCTCGTGAGCCGGCTGTCTCGGCCTGATGCCACTGCCGGCTGAGTACCGCCTGGGTACGCATGTGGCCAGCGAACTGTGCACACATGCACCCGGTAAGGTGGGTACACTCGCACCTGTACGCATGCTCGCCAGGTGCGCCTGGGCCGCACAAGACCTCGATACGCTGATCGACCAGACAACGGCGGATCGATGGCCTCGGCTTCCGAGCCGCCTCCATGGCTGGCACATGCCACGAGTTCACTCGCGTCCCCCGCCGGCGGCCCGAGTCCGCCAGCAGAGACCCGCGTGCTGACGCTTCACGGTGCTGTAACTGGAATGCATGATGCCGGAGGGCGTGGCAGAGATCAGAGGACGGGCTGCAGACACTCCTTTCTCGAGTGATGTTGCTCTCAAGACGAAGCTGTCCGAAGTCTTGGGAGAAAGTCACTCGGATATGACGCCGACTTTTTTCTGTGGAACGTTGGCACATGCCCCATATCACAAACGAGTGGCACAATGGCAGGGAAGTGGTGAACAAGGGATGTTTTTATACCAATCCTTTCCGCGCTTCGCCACGGTACTATGGGTAGTTTTTTCTGTTATTTTGCGATGCCGCGGTCCCAAGGTTTGCCTTGCACTCCTGCGCACTGAGGCTCAAATAACCCCCAGAAGTCTATGAACGCGCCAGACACGAATTCAAGCCCTACCTGCTCGTGGGCGCGGGAAGGCAAGGGCTGCCCTCTGCCTAGCCACCTAATCAGCCTTCCCATCCTGCACTTGCACTTGCACAAAATGATTCCTTTTTAAGCACAATCGAGGAAATATCTTACTTTATTACCCTTACATCTGCGTGTTTCCAGTGCGTCAACTCGCACCGACATGAAAGACCCCTGACAGGCAAGTGAAGACCTCCGGCCTGGGTGACGCGGCCACCAGCGGTATTGCTCAGAGGCGCCTGTCGAGAGGCACCTCAGGCTAGAGGCTGACTTGCAGGTTGCTGAAGAGGACGCTGCCTTGATGTGCCTCAGTTCTTCTGGGTCTGTTGGTGGAGCGGTGGCGTACGATCAGCAAGGGGCTTCTCTCCAGCTCGACGGAGAGAAAGAGCGCTGTTGCGTGATGTGAGTGTCGGCTGCTGTTCCGGGGAAGAGATCTATTTGTGCCGGTGATTGCGACAGTCAACATTAATTGTCTTGGCAGCCTGGCTGGGGAAGAAATTCCTGCACTGGTGGGTGAAATAACTCCAGCACTGGACACGCCAGGATTGGCTAGCGGGTTTGTTAACTACAGCGTTTGATTGGGCAGTGCATCCAGCAATGACTGGACGAATAACTCCAGTGCTAGAATGTGAAAGACTACAGTACGGGATTATGCTGTGGCATACGTTCATTGCTCGGTGCTCAAATAGCATTAATACTGGGTGATGGAATTATCCCAGCACTGGTCTTGAAGGCACTTCGGCGCTGCAGTGTAACATAGTCATGCATTGCTTGATGGAATAACTCAACTACTGAGTTTTACACATATGACAGATTCCGGCGACAGAGCAACAGCGCATTTCCAGGCGGTGCCAGTCCGATGCTAGTTGGTACAGCTAACCCGCACTTGGTGAGGAAAAATGCCATGCTGATGAACCTAATGGTGTATTTAATCAACATTGGTGGTGCGATTTCTGTTGTGCCCTTGGTGAACTAAAGTTCCAGTGGCCAAACCTTTCCTGCGCTTGATGAGGGATACCGTGCAGCAAAATAATCACATTACTGCGTGCTGAAAAAACGTCTGGCATCACTGGCCAAGTGGGAATGCGTCCTGCTCCCGCGGTGAAATAAGCCAGTTCCCGGCAATGGCGTCAGGCGATAATCTGGCTGACACCAGAGTCAGGCGAGCGGCTGGCTGATATACCAATTTCCTCATTTATGTCTATGCCAATGTCTGCATCGTGTCGGCAGGGCGGGGCCGCCGGGGCCTTCAGCCTGTGAGCTGCGGCGACACGTCCAACGACGCTGGAGGGGACGTGCTGAGTCACAACACGGCATGCCCGCCGACATTGGATGGTACGCGCTGAGTCACGACAGGGCGTGTCCACCGACGCTGAAGGGGTTGCTGAAGGGGATGTGCTGAGTCAGGACAGGGCGTGTCCACCAGCCTTGGAGGGGTTGCTGGAGGGGATGTGCTGAGTCAGGACAGGGCGTGTCCACCAGCCTTGGAGGGGTTGCTGAAGGGGATGTGCTGAGTCAGGACAGGGCGTGTCCACCAACCCGGGAGGGGTTGCTGGAGGGGATGTGCTGAGTCAGGACAGGACGTGTCCACCAACCTTGGAGGGGTTGCTGGAGGGGATGTGCTGAGTCAGGACAGGGCGTGTCCACCGACCCTGGAAGGGTTGCTGAAGGGGATGTGCTGAGTCAGGACAGGGCGTGTCCATCGACGCTGGAGGAGCTGCTGGAGGGGATGTGCTGAGTCACGACACGGCATGTCCACCGGCGCTGGAGGGGTTGCTGGAGGGGATGTGCTGAGTCAGGACAGGGCGTGTCCACCGGCGCTGGAGGAGCTGCTGGAGGGATGTGCTGAGTCACTACACGGCACGTCCACCGACGCTGGAGGAGCTGCTGCGAGGGGAAGTGCCTCCGCAGGCAGCAGGTGCCCAAGTGTGCGCCCCGTACGGCAGTGATGAGAAGTGGCAGGTGCAGAGGCTTCGGAGCGTCTAGGGTGGGCACGACAGAGGATCTGCGGAGGCGCAAATCACCATTACTGGACCCATCAAAGATTACCATCAAGGCCCCCACCACAAAACCGGCAAAAAAGCATTATACGTGTGTTATTTACTGCTCTCTGTTGAGGAGCATGCGTTATTTGCCGTTCTCCGTGGAGGAATATCATTGGCCTCTTGCCTGGGTAACTCGACGTCGGACGTCCTCCTTGCAATAATCATGTCCGCATGTCCGGGCATGATTACTTTTATATGTACGAGCATATAACCGCTTTGCATAGATCATTCCCAACGACCGTGTGTTCAAGTGTTGTATTGTACTTTGCTCTTTGTATCCACAATGGCGAACCAGACTGTTAGAAGGAAATGGTCCTTGAATTTTTATATCAACCAATTGTGACAAAAAGACGGCTTGGACCAACACCATCATTGCAATGATGATGATCGTCATCGTCATCAGGATTGTCGTCTGATGGTGCCCTGCTCATCGAAGCCAATGCGCGTTTGATGCAATCAGCCCATTCTCCCGCCGCTCTTTCCAGTCCGCTTTCTCCCGACCCACACCACCCCATCAGCTGTGCTCCGTACTGTCTCAGAACACTGCCCCTCTCTCCCTCTGCATGCCGACTCCGCCTCGCGCCTCGCGCCTCACACCTCGCGCCTCGCACCCCTCGCCTCGCGCCCCGCGCCTCGCACCACTCGCCTCGCACCTCTCGCCTCGCACCCCTCGCCTCGCACCCCTCGCCTCGCACCCCTCGCCTCGCACCCCTCGCCTCGCACCCCTCGCCTCGCACCCCTCGCCTCACACCCCTCGCCTCGCACCCCTCGCCTCGCACCCCTCGCCTCGCGCCCCGCGCCCCTCGCCTCACACCCCTCGCCTCCCACCCCTCGCCTCGCACCCCTCGCCTCGCACCCCTCGCCTTGCACCCCTCGCCTGACGCCCCGCGCTGACCTCGCCGTCCGGCGGCGACCGAAGCCCCACACGGCTCGGCGCGGGTCCGCCGGGCCGCATCAGCATACAGCGGCCCCGGCCATTACGTGGCGCCGAGGGCGGGCTGTCGGCGGCAGGAGCCCCGCGCCCCGAGCCCGGCCCCCGCGCCGGGCCGAACCGTCGCCCGGCGATCGACCGCGAGCGCCGCCGGGCCCGGTCGCCGGCGTCAGCGCTGAGCGTTCCGGGAAGACGTGCCGCACGCTTCGCTTCACAGGGGTCCTCTCATCAGAGACGGTGGTCAGCATCGATCGGTGCACGACTCGACCGCGGGGTCGGCCCCACTGGAGGCGTCCGTTCGGCGGCTGTGTGGCGGGTGCAGGAGCGGTGAGGGTCAGGATCGGCCCGTGCGTCACCGGCAGCGGAAGTCGGACGAGCTCGAGACAACAGTTCGGGGCTGTGCACCGTGCAGTAGCGATGCTGGTCGGTTTCGATCCGTGAAAAGTGTCGTGGTTAGGGCTGCCTGGCCATCACACGTGTGCAGCTGTCACGCTGCCTGTTGGTTTGACCCGTAATTAGCCCAGCGGCATCGCTGCGACGATCCTTTTATAGTTTCGCTTGGAGTAGAGCTATGTTGACCACCCGTGGCCATCCCGGGGCTATGGGATGAATGAGAGCGGATAGTGGTGGGGCAGTACTACATGTATGTGGAAGTTCTTGGAGTCTTGAGAAGGACTGAATGACGTTTGGCTTTCAGGCATGTGTGCGTCACAACCAGTATTCACTCCTTGTAATTTTGAGGATTCGAACCAGGTTCTTCTGATTGCGAATTCAGTGATCTACCAACTGAGCCACTCAAGAAGGAGGCGAGTGGCAGGATGCGTTGTCTGAAGACCTTGCTTTGAGTCCCAGATAATAACAAGGCTATAACCTGGGTTATAACGTGTGAATGGCTGAAAAAAATCACCCAGTCCTTCCCAGGACCAGAAAACACCTGGCGACGATATGTAAAGACTAAACGCATAGAAAACTGTAGAAAACTAAGAAAACTTCAGACGCGCTAGGGCGGTACGTGGTGTCACTTTGAACCCTAGGAAATGAAAAACTTAGAGAGCTAGATACATCAGTTTTTCAAAGTGGTGGGTGCTATGTAAATTCGTTGGTGTCGAATTTTGTGGTCTCTTTTAAACTGCTTTATAAAGAAAAAAATGAGCACGTTGGCGTTTTTTATCAAGGAATTGAAATGAGCGTAAAATACTACTACACAAAGCAAGTTTTCTAGGAAAAAGCCGTTTGGTTTTGACCTTGATTTATCCTTTATACCGGATCCGAGGCTAATGGAAGACGTTGTTACGCTAGTTCTAATTACCCCATTGTCTAGAAAGTCATTTCCAAGTTGTTTAACTTCGTGTGATACTCTGTTGTCGCACCAACTTGAAATAATGCCGAATAATTCCCTTCGATGACCGTCGTGGTGGGACGTTGACCTGCTGCAAGTCAGAAGCCTTACAAGGTGCATATATATATATATATATATATATATATATATATTATATATATATATATATATATATATATATGATCGCTGCTGCTCTCTCTAGTACTACAGTGTGTGTGGTGTGTGTGTGGTGTGTGTGTGTGTGGTGTGTGTGTGTGTGTGTGTGTGTGTGTGTGTGGTGTGTGTGGTGTGTGTGTGTGTGTGTGGTGGCGTGTGTGTGCTGTGTATATGTGTGTGTTCCTTGAAAAAACGGTGTTTTATCGTTTACAGCTAGCAGAGTTTGCCGTTGCTGCGCTGCACCGCTCCGAAATTATGTTAATAAAGCCTTGGGGAAGCGGCTCAAAATGACCCCGCCTTGCCACCCGAGCGCGTGTTAACGCAGTTTTCCTGGAGACGCCACGTGCTGGGCTCACCTTCACAGACCGCTGTCGTGTCCCGCCGGATCGTGGCCTGCCGCGCGGGAGCCATGTCCGCCGTGAACACCGTTGTCACGCTGCGCCACCAGCAGCGCCGGCTCGCCGGACGCCACGAGTCTGCCTTGAGTGACATTTCCGTGCTACGTCCGCAGATCGGCTGCCAATCCTGGATTCTGCGACGATCTTGCTTGGTAAATCGCCTCTACGCTTGAGCCTGCAGCTACGCTGTCCGTCGTGGGCGCCACGACGAGCCGGCCATGAGTGATGTTTCGCCTGTTTTGCCGCCAGGTTCGCTGCCAGTGCTGGACGGCCGTCTCCTGGCTGTCGGCGATGGTGCTCTGCTGCCCGCCGCTGCTCGGCTTCAGTTCGCCGCTGTACGACGCCGGCGCCTTCATCTGCATGGCCGACTGGAGCGACATGCTCGGGTATTCGTCGACGGTTGCGCTGATGGTGCTGGGACCGCCCGTCATCACCTCCACCTACACCTACGGCTTCATCTTCCACATGTCGGCGCGCGTGCGCACCAGCTACGCGCAGCAGCTGGACAAGGAGTACCTGAGTGCAGTGCTGGAGAACCTGGCCAGCCCGGACATCGTCATGACGTTCGTGCTGACGCTGCTCTTCTGGCTGTCGTGGCTACCCTTCATCGGGATGCGCATGTACGAGTTCGCCGTCGGGTATCACCTGGACGCGCCGTTCCTCCACTTTACGCTGTTCTGGCTGGGCATGCTGAACTCGGTGTGGAAGATGGTGGTGTACCTGGTGGCCAGTGCCGACTTCCGGCGCGGCCTGCGCGCCCTCTGTCGGAGTGTCTGTTGCGCGTGCCGCCGCTCCGCCTCACCTGTCCCTGTCTGAAGATGGCGTCACCTGGGAGTTGGCTGGTGCTGCTACCGAGCAAGCATTTCGCGTAAGCTACGCTGTTGAATCCGGCTTTAAGGACTGCAGCCAAGTCGGAAGAAAGGAGCAACGGTTAATGCACAAACGCTTCTAAAACTGTGACGGATTCACTCGATAGAGCGCTTTGCTTCTAGATTGACGTTCTCTCGAAGTTGCTTGCAGAAACACACGGCAGGATGAAACCCGCAACGCGAGCTACAGTTCTGATTTCACGCGACACCAGTCCCCTGTCAGCGTGACTCGTGATTCGTGGCTCACGCTCACTCTAAGGCGTCCTCGGCGACAACCACTCGCCGGCGAAGCGCCGCTGGGCAGGGAAGGCACGTCGGGAAGCGTGTTCACCAAGTGCATTTCACTGAGTACGAAGCGGCTGATGGGGCGGGCCGTGATCACAGCGTCTGGGCTTAGACGTCCCCGGTCGCTCTTCTGGCTGTATGTTTTATATCTAGTTCGTACCCGTAGGCAGACCAGATGCCATAATCAAAGCGGACGGTAGCGTCCTAGACCAGACTACACGCCCTAGCTCTAGCAGTATGATTTACATGTCTTCCAGTTCTATGCCATCACACGAAGGCGTGTGCTTTTGCTAACAAACCCTAATAGGAAGCGTTGCGATGACGAATTAGCTGTGTGATTTTGTACTTTGTTACAGAGGCTTACTGCTTTGTCCAACGCAAGTAGAATTTTCAGCTTTCCTAGCACGCAAGCATTTTCCTACGTGATCCAAGGAGCCTTTGAAATGCTTTCCGCGTTTGAACGCAAACAATTGTGAGCTGTCCTGTCACCTGAATCCAGTAGCTTAGTGAAAGCATTCCTTTCATCCGAGACACATTTCCTCCGCGTTTCGTTCAAAAGAAATGTTCTTCCTGCGGCGTTATCGCCGTCTGCCGTGAACACTACAGGTGTTGGTGAACCCACATCGAAACATATACGTTTTCCCGGCGTCAACCCGGAAGTCTTCGAGACCGGGACGGCACGGGAGCGGGGCGGCATGAGATGCGGCATGTGACGCGCTTCCGAACGACATACCCCTAAGTGTGCTTACGAGGCAGTACAAGGCGCTCGCTCGATACCGTAGGCCCGTGCTGCGCGTGTGCCCGACTGCGACCCGCACGTATCACGTGGCGGACGTCGCACGTGGGCACATGATTGCCGTGTCACGTGGCAGCGCTGCGCCTTCCGTGCTGAGGGACGTATAACCTCTGCGTGCTAGGTAGGAGCGTTCGGAGCTTGCTGTGTGACGTCAGGGGAGCGTTCGATGAGGGGGGGGGGGGCAGTGTCAGTGCTCGGGACTCCGTTGTGTGTGCGGTGGCCAGCGATCCGTTGCTCGCGCTCACGTGCACAGCTTGGCCCTGTAGCGAGCCAGCAGCCACCGCCAGCTGTTCGTCACGTGTGCTACTGTCCTCGGACGTGCCGGTGATAGGTTCAAGCCTGCGAGCGCCTTCACGTGACGCCGGGCTCTGAAGACGTGCGCGTGTGAGCGCTCGTTGAGAACTGTGAGCTGACCACGCCGCCCGGGGGGCTTTCCTGCGCCGCTGGCGCCTGGCTGCCCGCGCCTGGCCCGTTGGCTGCTAGCTGTTTGGCTGTCTGTTTCGGGACGCGTCGGCAGGATGCCGTCTGGCTGCATACTCTCCCTTATCTTTCACGCTAGCCGATGTTGTCTTTCACTGTTTAACTATCCTGTAGGGATAACAGCGGAATACACGTAATTTGGTGTTTCGCCTTCTGTTTTTCCTATGGGATAAAGTGCATCGCGGCACATGGTTCGCTGCGCCACATAGGCCATATGTCACTCAGGCCCGAGCGCTACTTTGGCGTACCCACCCCAAACGCGGACATGTCGGAGAAGATTTGGGCCACGGAGTGCTGAATGGCAAATGCGACGAACGCCATTCAGCTGTCTCCCGTCGGGTGAACTTCGGGGTCAGGCTGGCAAACTTGCGAGCGAACTTGGCGGCGGGGACCGAGGCCGCCGCTGCCACTCGCCCCCCTGGCTCCCCCGCGGATGGCGGACTTCCGCTGCCGCCCGCCCAGACTTCCGGAGACGGCATGACCCCGAGTGACCTTGGACGCCAACGGAGGAGCTTCTGTAGGCCGCGCCTAGTCCACACAGCCTTCCTTGCAGCGTATTGCGCGGTATCGCAACGCGAACGCTCAGGGAGCGCACTCTCAGTGAACACTCGTGAACACTCACCAGAACACACTGCAGCAAGGAGCGATAAGAGCTCACGGCTGCTTCCTTATGCCTTTAACCAGGCTTTTTAAGCGCAATAATGCGACGGGGCATTTAGCACAAGTTTAAGCCCCGCATACCAGCCTCGGTCGCGTCGGTTTTCTTAACTTATACGTCTTTCTTCGCCCGTGTCTCAAATCGGCCGGCATGCACGACATTGCGTGTCAGGATCTGAGTGCATGAGCTGCCTAAACGAACCATCTGAATATCGATGGTCATTTAACCCTATTGAACCAGCGATGGTGGCGCCGTGTCCAGCAATGTCGATGATGCGCAGTGGAAATGATTGTCGCGCGTCTGGGCCTCATTTTACGTCATGTGCATGACATTGCAGTTTTTTCGCATTTGTCTTGAGGATCCAGTGGCTTCATAGTGCACCATGTACAGCAGCATAACTGCAGCGTGATACATTTACGCACGAAGAAAACTAATGACATCTTAATCGTCCAGTTTAAATGCAAAAATATATATTTTCTGGGCGGCCGCATGGATCATGTTTTGCAAGTCCAAGTTGCGTCAGACAGTCCTCAAAATCTTTCCAGTAGTAGACAGAAAAGTACCCGAAAAGGGCGAAAAGGAGCAGCGCCTTAAGCAAGTTCTTGGTATTTCGTGCCAGGCGTGCCAGTCGAAGTCGAGGTAGGGTAATGTGAGCCAGGGTAATGCGAGGCAGAGATACAGACGTCAGTGCCAGCCAGAGCCCGCCGAGCATATCCCACAGCCAAGACAATCCCAGCCCCTGGTGCGGTTGTGGTGACGCCGACCGCGACCTTGCTGACGCAGGTCGCGACCCCGAGGACCCCGGCCGCGACGCCTGTGATCCTGACCGTGACCCCGGTGACCCGGATCGCGACCCCGGTGACCCGGACCGCGATCCCACTGAGCCGGGACGGGACCCTGCCGAAGCCAGCCTCGCTACGATGCCCTCAGAGGGCGCTGGCTCAGCGTCAGGAGAAGGTGACCGGAGCGTCCTTCCGAGCTGGTGACCGAGCTCACCGTCTCAGTATCGTCGCTGTCCGGCAGCTGGACCGAATCGGCCTCAACGACGGCAGGCTCGGACACGGCGGTGCGAGCTGGCGACGGGGGACTCTCCGGCGACTTTGCGCGTACCGGCGACTTGGGTCTCGCCGGCGACTTGGGTCTCACTGGCGACACGGGCGCGACCGGTGACTTGGGTCGGGCCGGCACCTTCTGTCGGATCGGTGTCTTGGGCCGGCCAGGGGAAGGCTTTTCAGGCCGCTTCCTGGGCGACGAGGACGCCGCCGCTTCCGACTTGGAGCCCTTGGCCGCGACTGCGTGCGGCACTTTCTTTGGTTGCGGCGCTTTGTTTGCCGGAGTCCTCATCTTCTTCCAGACGTTGTGCAGCTCCTTATCTCCGTGGCCGGTCGTAGCGATGGTTTGACGGAGTGGACATGCTGCCGGCGAGCTCTTCTGTATGCCCGGACGGCACCGTGGCGGCGTCCGTGACCGGCAAGGCGTCGGCTTGACAGGCACTGTGCGCCGCTCCTGCTGGCACTTATCCACCACCGTCCTTTCCCAGGCGGGCGTCCATTTCGTGGCGTCGTTGGCAACGTCTCCCGAGCCGGCGCCGTCCGCCCCGTGGGTGAGGCCCACGTCAAAGCTCACGCGGCGATGCAGCTTGTAGGGCGGCACCGTCTTGCCTGCCGACCGACCGCAGCGCTCTTCCGGCATGTTCCACCAGGAGAAGGTGCGGAAGAGCTCGTTCAGGTCGTTGTTCTGCGAGGCCACCAGGCGCGCCGGCGAGAGCGAGCGCTCTCGCCGTCCGGCGTCACCGCTGCCGACGCTGCGGCGCGAGCCAAGCGACAGACTGCGAGGCCTGTTGCGGCTTCGCCCGCGCTTTGGCGACCTCCAGCCAAAGATGCCGCACAGCTTCTCGGCCGTGCCTGAGCTGTCCGAGCCGCTGGCGGCGGGTGGCGAGGCCGCCCCGGCCCGCGGCGAGGAGAGGCAGTCGTGGCGCTTGTGCTGCGCACGAGGCAGCGACAGCAGCGAGCTCACCTTGAAGCTGGGTGGTAGGATGCGCTCCTTGGCCTTGCAGGCGCGCCACCAGTTGAAGGACCGGAAGCGGGTTTGGTCCGGCGTCAGGACGCTGGGGCACGGGCGCTTCGGCTTGGACGACCGGTCCGCACTGGCCTGCTGTTCCACGCGGCGCGCGGCCAGACCGTTGGCCATGTCGTGAATGCAGTCGCGTTTGCAGTTGCAATCCTTCTGCGGCTCCCACCAGCTGAAGCTTTTGAACAGTTCTTCGGGGTTACAGGAGGTATTCCGCTTTGAATTGTGCAGCCGGTCCCACCAGGCGATACCGCCGTTTGTTGCTTTCCTGACGACTTTTCGTCTTCGGCAGGCATTTCCGTTTCGCTTGATTTTGGACGGCATGATATTGCCTTTCTCCCAGGAAGAGCCCCACAAATAAAAGGACCTGAAGAGGTCGTAGAGCTGATTGTCGTAATTACTTTCGCAGTCGTTTTCCGCAGTGTCACCACCACCTTTCCCAGAACAGTTGGTGGTGGAAGTCTCGCGCTTTTGCCGAAGGCCCTTGGCTGCTTTTACGGCCACTTCATGTCGCTGCCAACCACTTGAATTTGATGAAGACCGTGAGAAAGGCTGCTGTGACCTAGTGCCTCCAATCCATTTGGGAGTTGAGCGCGTACCTAGGAAGGGGCACAGCGAAATTAAATGGTTGAAAAGTATAGAATCGCGTTGCTCACGGGTAAATTTGTTGACCTTGCCTACAACCTGAAACAAAATGGTGCTGTTTGTATTATTCTCTTTTACACGAGCTAGAAAGGCTTTTAAATTAGCTCGGGACTTAAAGCATGATTCATAGTTTCGCAAGATGAGTCGAGAAATGTTGAAAACCTTTGATTCAGGTTTGGCTGATGAATTACTGTCTTAAATTGCCAAACTTGCGGGCCCTCCAGAGTAGCAGCACATACCAACAGCAGCAAGCAGATGAGCATTGGAACAATGACAGTTAATTTGCGTTCAGTTTCTGCTCATCAGAAACAGCTCGAACTAAGAAAAGACGTACTTAATTCATGAAACAACCGACAGACACATTTATCGTCTTACAGATCCGTCAGATCGGGATTCTACTCACCTAGAACGGCTCCCATTCATAGCGACATAAGGGGTCCTTTTGGGTTTCATTCCATATATATGCAATGGAAATCACTGCTCATTTAAGCAAGTCCTTATGAAGGGTGCAGACGATCATTTATGTTATTTTATGAACATTAGAGGGGTGAGAAATACATATTCTGTCTGAAATCTATCTTGAAGTAAACTGTCCATATTTGTGTCTGCTTGTGTTTTACGACGTCTTACGGCGAAAGTGCAAGCACGGTCTAAACTTGGCAATGCACTTTCGATGTCGCCCCTGTGTTACCTGTCGAAACACTGCTGCACACACTGGGATTTCGATCAAGTGTGAATACAAGCCTGAAATACGATACGTTGAGAGCCAGAAAAAACGATCACCGTCGTGTCCACGAATTCTGATGGAATGAGAGGGCTGAGTGCGTCGTAACAGCCCAATGACACACATAGATGTAGAAATGACCAATAGATGACAAGGACATGGGTGCCCGTCAGAGGTAAATAATGAAAGAGTAGCTTAACACATCAGGTCAAAAACACTTGGAAAAATGCTTGTATAAGACGTCATGAGGTAACAGTTTCCTGCGAACCGCAATGCCCTCCCAGTTAATTATATCAATAAGTTTAGATATCCACAGGCAGTAAAGGTGCTACCAAGGTCATGCTTTGGTCACGGATGTGAGGAAACCATCCGGCTTAAAATATATGATTTCCATTCTCATTTTTCTGTTAGGTTGAAATGCATCTTTGCACAGGGCAGTTACAAGTGTCATCACAGAACATTCAAGGGGTTGCGTCATTTGATTTACATGGCAATGTGCTACCAGGAATGCACCCTGTTATTTGGTTGTGGGTTATAACGCAGTCCCCTATAGGAAGACAGCGATAATTTCGCGGTGCCACCCACAGTGGTGCCTTTTAGCGTGAACTTTCGGCAGTAGAGTTATGGGAAGGTGAACTGAATATTAGGTTGCAGTGCAAAGATAATGCCCGCGATGTTCATGTAAGTAATTACGAATAAAAGATGCCTTTTAAAACGGTGAATTTCCAGTTCCTGCAAGAAAAAAGCTGAAAAATATGCCGGTGGGCTGGATCGTTTTTGTCTAAATATTCATAGTTGTCTAAATATTCATGCCATGGCTGTTGATGTCTGGTATGCCGACGCCAATCTTGACACATGCACAAATCAGTCAGGGAAAGATTGTACTTTTGTATTCTCTTGACCTTGGTATCGGAGGCTGTCAAGACAGCTGCGGGCGATTGTTGCACACTCGTTGATGTATTTGTAGCGACAACGCAAGTCATGTCCTATACCAACATAA